CAGCCAGACAGCCTGTACTCCAGCAGGGGCCTCTACGCTGATGAACTGCCCTCATCTGCCAGACCGCGTCCAGTGGGAGGAACCACAGGTACACAAGGAAGTTCGATAGCATCACACAAATGCAACATTAACACAACAATATTTTATGTTCAGGCTGTTGCTCTGTCCCCCCAAACAAAGCTCATGGTGTCCATTCATTTCTGCATCTCGTTTTCAACTTTTTTGCAGATTTTTTTTTTTTTAAATAGGAAAAAAGGAAACGCACATCTTAAGCAATCATGCTTAAAGATAGACATGTATGTTCTTTATCTCAGTGTTTAATCTCCGTCTCAGTCTTTATGCTATATTTAATCCATCTAAATGTAAATACTCCCACTGTCAGTTACAGCTAAACAACAAAATGAACCATTAGCACAAATATGTCCTTTTTTTATTCTTAGAGCTATACACTATTTATCTCTGACTTTGTTTAACAATAAACTGCTGAGAATATGTAACACTGACAGAAATAACTAGTGCAAACGTGAAAGGTTTTGCACTAGCTGTCACTACAGAGGAATAACTCTTGCATTTAAAATATGCCCTTTCTGAACTGGCTGAGTGCGGCGCGTGCGATTAAAGCCATTTGTTGCAGCAGGAATGGGGTGTGTCAGCAAAACGTACAGCTGATTCAGGTTGCCAATATTTTCTGCAATGATTGAAGAACATCTGTGATAGACGTGCAACCAGTCCAGGGTGCACGCTCACTCTCACCCAAAAACAGCTTGGCTAATCTGAGGACAGACAGTCAGGCAGCTGCCAATAACTTTGTAACTTCACTTACAGTGGGTATAAATTTGCATGCAGCTGACAAATTTTCAGACGCTGATGCCGAGTAAAGACAGTTTCATATATTCTCTGCTTAGATGAGAGAGCATAAAAGAATACTGCAGTGATCCCGAGCAGTTTTGAGTAGGAATGGAAGATACAGTAAGGTTTAAGGTTGGGCAAGAAGCTGGCATGATTAAGGTTGGGTCTTTAGGAAATTAGTGCCAGTAAGTATAATGTGTTTATTTATTTTTTTAGGTGCCCAGCTCCATCATCTTGCACAAGTGGGTCTGTCCAGTCGGATGAATGGTTTCCCAGCAGGAGTCAGGGCTGCTCCGGGCCAGAATGGAGGCTTAGGCTGGAACCACTATCATGATGACAATTTCTCCAGAGCAGAAGCTGAAAAAGATGCAGTGAGTGAATTGCACATTTTTATTTTTTCATTAACAAGTTCATTTAATTTCATTGAAACCTGAAACTAAATGAAATCCCAAACTTTTCATTTAATCATCAAATTATTAAAAACAAACGCACAGTAACTCGATCCTAACAGGAAGCCAACTGTATTGCTTTTGAGAAACACCCACAGTTTCAGTTTGGTTTTCTTCTAATTTTCTGGTGTTCTTCTGTTTTTGTTACTTGATATTTTTTATCTTATCTATTCTCTTCTTTTTTATCACCTCCCCCTGTTGTTCCGTTTGCCCTTTCTGTCCTGCCTGCTATTTATGGACCCCCTGACTGCTCGTCCTCCTCTATCTTCCAGATTCACCGGAGTGGTATCAGGGAGCCCACGGCCCCCCCGACCCATCTAGATGGTGTGGGTTATCTGACAGCCCCCCCACCTCTGGATACTTCTCCTCCCACTCATTCCTCTGCCTCCTTGATCAAGGCCATCCGGGAGGAGCTTCTGCGGCTCTCGCAGAAGCAGGCGGCTGTGCCCAGCTACCACAGCTGAAGTCCTGGCTTCTAGTGTCCTGCTCTAACCAGTCATGTCACTGACCCTGCCTGCTTGCTTCACCTAATCTGACAGTGCTTCCCATGGAAGTCCATTAAGCTGTACAGCAGAGAGATAGTCCTGCTAAAGTAGAGAGGTTTGCTCCTGAGAAACTGCATAACAGGATGGCTGATAGAGACTGAGATCAGCTGCAGTAGAGTACAGCTGACCAGAGATGACGTGAAACCAACGCGTGAACTCGACATGCCCGTGTTTCTTTCCTGTTCTTTACCGTGGACCAGGGAGCGCTAATGTCACGTACTGTGGACGTCGGACTTGATTTTGCTGCATATCCTCAGACTCTGTGTCATAGTTTCAACTTTATGTCGCCTTCACAAACAGAAATACAGTGTCAGACTGAAGTCACAATGTCTTTTTACATCACATAACCTGATGTATTTCTTCTTTTTGATGCAGACCCCTAACTTCCTTTCCACCATCAGGTGCTTCCTGTCTTCTGCCATGATGAGCCATGTTATGCCTTGACACTGTGATACAGTTCACGTGACCATACCTGCTGTTAGAGCCTACAGTAAGACCATAGTTCACAGCCAGCAACCCAGTTCAGACAGCAGGCAAAAAAAGGGGCATCCATACACAGTAATAACACTCATTAATGCTACCTATTCTGTCCTTACTTACTACAGTAAAACAGTGTTCGACCTCTCGGCTTACAATATATACTTTTTCATGTTAAAGTGCTGTTGTTGTTTTTTTAAATTCGTGTTGAGAAGCTACTTGATGGTTAAGCAAACAGGAGAAGAAATCAGCCTTTAAGCAGATCAAACAGTTTCTGAGCAAGTTTTAAAGACGCAGGCACAGATGTGGTACAAATAATAAAAGGTGACATACTTGATGATTATGGTCAATATTTAATGTATGTATTCATTATGTGGTTATTTGATGCACTGTATGCAGACGACTTGGTACGGCTCAGGTTTTTCATTAAGAGATTCCTTACGGACAAATCCGTAAAAAGACACTTTAGAAGGTCACATGGAAGAAGTGTAAATTAGGGAAAGTCACAGACACCAGTGTTCTGTTTGAGCTCATTTCTGTGTTGAATACACATGGATGTCTTTTTCATGCAGTATTGGACGTTTGATTTGCCTTTTTGTTAGCACAGGAAGGGAAGACGTGTACTGTATTTCATTAAGAGTTTACTTCAACTACTCATTTTTACATGCTTTTTAAATAGATTTGGATCATTTAATTGTGTTCACCTGGCTCTTAGTCATCATGCTGGTTAGAAGTCATTCCAGGTCTTTTCCACAGGATGTGGTGCGATGTTTCGGAGGCCTAAAATTTTAATTCATTCGATTAAAATAAAAGAGGAACTGTGGGGTTTTTATAGCAGGACTTGAAGATGTGTTTTTGCAGTTTGTGCCAGGATCATATGGCAAATTCGAAATGTTCCCTGCACAAGCCTCGACTTCCAAGTGATTTTACTGATGTGGCCACGGTGTCCTTCTCATGCCATGTTTCCTTTCCATGTGACGTGCCTTTTGGACTCACCTGAATTGATTAAGCACCAGACTGTCTACTGTTACGCTCCCAATTCTAACACAGAATTATTTAAAAGCATCATTATTCCAACATGGCTGTTTGTCAGTGGATGTAAGGGCAGTTGAACTGTAAACGAATCGATGGAACATCAGGTAACAGTGACACTGTAGCTTTGTTGTCCATTACATGTTCATGGTTTATCCATCTCACACTGTACGCCTCCATCTGCTGGTCCTGTACTGTAACTACATCCTTGTGTTCATCCTCAGTTGCTTTTTGTTGTTGTTGTTGTTTATTTCCAGTCCTTTTCTACGTGTTCTGCTATGTAAAAATGATCCGTTGGCTGGCCCAACTTTCCATTTGCATGTTTAATTGTTGTATTTCTTTGGCTTGGTTTTGAGCATGCTATTTCAGAATTTGTGAAATACAAAGTAAGCTGTAACTTGAGCTGCCTTTTAATTAATGTACATTGCCAGAGTGAAAATTACTTCAGATTTTATTTTGCTTTGGTTTCATTTGAGCAATCATAACATCTGACGTCATTCATCCAAAACGTCACATGCTTACAGGTGTTGTAGTTACACCAGAAAACCACAGGGTGTCAGCACATCACAGGAAAACTAGCTGCACTAAAAGGACAAATCGCGCTCCCGCGCTGCACATGACGTAACCAGTTCCCATGGATGATTCTAGGCGTCTCTGAAAGCAGGTCAGTCGGTGGGCTCTTTACGTCTTTTTGAATTGTGAACATGCAACAGATGTTTATCATACAGCAGAGTCTGTTTGGATCAGTGATGCTTCCACTAGCCTTTGGGTGAGATGAATTTTTCTAACCACCAATATCTGGAAAATATGAACATACAAATACACACCAATTAAATGAATCAATCGAGATGCGCCGGTGACTGTTACACGTTTATATTTCTCTTAAAATAACCTCCAGCTCCTCGTTCACTGACTCGTATCCCCATCACAGCTTCTAAAGCCAGTGAGTGAGGCATCTAAATGTTCCGTAAATCTCCTGATCTGTCTCTACAGGGGTTGACTTTGCACAACTCAGCAAGTATTTGACAGCACACTCCTGAGTGGTCAATATTCACAGTCCATGCGCACATTTGGTTATTTTTATGGCTCCAAAACGGCAGCAAATTCATCTGGTCTTAGTTTTGAGAAGTAAACCCTAATAAGGGATTTGATGACTTATAGTCATCGACTTTAAGTCGTTCATTTATTGTGTTTCGATTTTGTTTCCGATCTCCTCTATACACAGGAGTCATGCTGTGGCAAGACATGAATTCATTTTTCCTTAATAATCCGTCTTTTTAATTTCACGATGCTGCTAGTTTGAGTTATATCTCGGGCATGATGAAAGAACACACAATGTTTGCTGCAGAGTATCCCAGGCTTGCTGCCTCTTGCCCGGTATCTAAACCGTCCCCCACCTCTCCCCACCTTCCCTACGGTAATCCTGCCTGTGTGTTGTCCCTGAGCGCAGCCTGGACACACACACAACAAAAACACACCCAGGAGTTAATCTGGATCATGATGGTAATTACTGCCTGTGCGTCCAGCCTGTAGGAGGGTATTGTCCACTAAGGGAGGAGTCAAACAGTCGGTTCTGCCTACTGACCTTGGAGAAAACTGCGAGGGAGGTAGGCAGGGGAGGGAGGAGAGAAACAGGGAGAAGGAGGTAGCTGACTGAGTTTCAGCACTGCAGATCTTCCTGTCAGCCTTCAGCCGCTCTTTCTCTCAGTTTGCTGGTGAAAGACAAAAAGCATTGAGAGGAGGGAGGAGGAGAATTGTGAAAGGAGTCTTTTTACTGATGATGGACGAGGATTTCTTTCTTTTTAACTAATCTTTAAAGCCCCTGTGAGTATTGCCTGTTATCTGCTTGTCATTCAATCTGCTCTTTGCTGCACATGTGTATTCTTTGACTGTAATAAGAGTCACATCTCGGGAATGTACTGATGTTACTAGACGGGTTTCTCAACCAGAGTCCCACAGACGAGGTGTCTTCCCACATTGTTTGTTTTTGTAACCAAGGTAGATGTTTGGGTTTTCCTGAATAGGGTGCAGTTGCAGACATTTGTGCGCTCTGTGTGTGTGTGTCAGAAAATGACATTCCTGCAGTTTCATGACAGTGAATGTTGTTGACACAGCCTACGATGAGCCCTCACAGCTGTTAGCTTTGTTGCAGTGGCGCTGCTGTGGGAGGTTGTGGTCCTCGCCCTCCTTGTTTACAAGCATGGCTTCTTCTTATGCAATTCTCTGCATGCTGCACTATTACATACCATTAGAGCTGCTGCTGCTGCCTACAGTATGAATCAATGGCAGCACGAATAGTTGACTGACACTGCAGACATCTTCTGCGGTACCCAGCTAAGGGCCAGCTGGCACTGATGTCATAGAAGGATGCCACTGTGTTCACTTTTAGCATTGGCTGCGCATATGAATTTTGCATGAAACTGACTGGCTTCATTTGTCTCAAATACCACACACATTCTTTTCCTGGATTTTCAATCACGTTTTTATTACCAGAAATGCCTTCAACCTTATTGTGTGGTCTAAAACCTACATTTCCCTTCTCTCCACCCCTTTTATCTCCTTTTTATCTCTACCAACCAGTGCAGGTTATCTTTGCTCTGTCATCTCTGCCTGTCTTCTCTGCATAACAGTGAGGTGAGGGTATCAGGGGGATTTCTGAGCTAGCGATGCAGAAACAGCAGCGATAAGAGAAAGTTTAGATTTTCTGCACGTGTGTGTGACATGAGCATCATCTGACGTAATGGAGGAAAGGCATGGATCTCCAGGAGGATCTGTTTTCATAACAAATGAGCATTTATCTCTCTCTCTGTGTGTGTGAGAGAGAGATAAGCAAGGTTAGAGAGGGGTACAGAAAGAAAGTGCCAGTAGCTAGTGCTGCCCTACTTTCAACTGCATGACACATATTTTATCCAAGTTTAGAAGCAAAAGCGTCTGCATGCATTAGGTCACCATTGTACCGCCTCGTGTCAGGTCAGGTAACTCTTGCTGACATCACCTCTGGTCGCCGGCGGACGATCGCTGTCCTCAAGGTCACAGTGCAGGTTATCTGTTTCTCTGTCACCCCCTCTCCACCAGGCTGTACTGTATCAGAAGACACAGTGTCACATTGTGCGCTGCCGCTGTGCTGAGTAGGAGGCAGCACTCATATGATGTTCTAGGGAGAGGTGAATAGCTGTCATTCATGAGAGGGTGCCCGTTTGCTCGGCAGCTGACTTCAGACACTGATCCTGCCTGTCAGCTGCTGGCGGGTGTCTTCCACAGACCTAACTGTTGTGTCCGTTGCACTAGTAGCTGACACATTAAACATGTTTGTTGTTCTTTATAGCAGACAAGGAAACACAGCACAGGTTTTGGAGTCCAGAGAATACAGGTCATATTTGAAGAAGCCTTTTATTAGGAAAGCAGTTGCAGAAAATAAGGATCCTTTTACAAACTCCTAACTAATTTTGGCTCAGAAACCCTTCTTGCAAACGCATTGTAGTGCATGTTGTTAGGTAGCTGTGGTATTTTGTTAAACTTTACAAAGATATCCGGTACGCCACAGCTGATCCTCTGACAGCATTAATCCCTATTAGCAGGCACTGGATCTCTCTGCACTGCTGTCCTTCAGACCACATCCTCTGGATGTTTTCAGGACAGTTTGCACCAGCAGCAGCAGCAGCTCCGCCAAGACCAGCCCGGCAGCTATTAGTGTGTATGCGGAAGAGTAGAATGAGACCACAAACAACGTTGTCCCGCTTTTAACTTTCCCTCACTCTATATATCGAGACGAACTATAAAGATGGAGCGAACAACGGAGATGCTGATGGAATGAAAAGAACCAAAACGCTGGTTATGTGTTTCTTTGTACTTAAATGCACACGCACAGTCCTTTTACCTCTTTCAGAGGAGCCTTAGACTTTGTGTTCTGGTTGCATGCTGTCTGGACAATAATCAGCAGGTAATCCCTTTAAGCCATTATTTCTCTAATTGCTTTGTCTTGGTCAGCAGATGGACACCGCGGGGATGTTGTTTTGTCCTGTCTGCTTTCTCTTTAGTGAATCATAGCTGAGTACAGAAATAACCTCTGCGGTATTGTTTGCTCGACTGCATATTCATTTGCTTATGAAACAAGATTAAAATGATTATTTGCTCTTGTATCAGTATAGTCCCTGTGGGCAGAGAACACAGTATACGAAACAGCAATGTGGAAAGTCTTTAACTGTGCAATAACCTCACAACTTTCTTCACTGTCTAATAGCATCCATTTAACAACTAATGATAACTAATGATTCGATCTTGAAGTTGATCAATCATGTACCACAGGACTTCAAGCTGGCAATAATGAAACCACTACTTCACTTCAGCATCACTTGACCGAGTTATCTTAGCTAACTACAGCCAATCTCCAACCTTCCTTTTATCTCAGTTATTCTTGAGTGTGCTGCTCATCCTCCACATTGAAAGGAGCCAGTTGAGGTGGTTCTGGCATCTGACTAGGACGCCTCCTAGATGAGGTATTCCGGGCATGTCGTACTCGGAAGAGGCCCCAGGGGAGACTCAGGACTCACTGGAGAGAACACATCTTTCAGCTGGCTTGGGAACATCTCGGTGTCCCCTCAGATGAGCTGGAGGAGGTGGCTGGGGTGAGGGAAGTGTGGGCTTCTCTGCCGCCGTGACTCAAACCGTGACAAGCGGCAGAAAATGGATAGATGCAGGAATGTCTTAAATACATACAGTGTATATATATGGATGACCTCTAATTTCCTCCTTCCAAATTTTTATAAAACTGGGGTCATTGTACGTACAGTGAAACATAAATCCTGAACCTGGCGACTCTGAGTTAAAAGTAAAAGTCAGGAAACCACAAGTAAAGCCTTTTCTCAGGAGAAAATAATAAGCAATCCACATCTAAAGTTTTCTTTGGGCAACATTTAGGCTGGACTGATAGATGATGACTTTATGGTCATGCTAGCTCATGTAACATTACAGCCAGTGGTATAAGTGATCCATAAATGTCCCAAGTAGCCCAGATTAGGCTGGAGTGAGAGTGGCTTTTAAACATGGTGAGCTCTGTCCAATTTTACATGTCAATGCTGTGTGTGGCTGCCTAGTAAAGATGACATAAAATGACGAGAACAATAAAAAATGTGAAATTAGTGCAACTTTCATGCACTGTTTTATTTTTCCTGCTGTTGAAAATAGTAGGATAACAACATGTTAGCACAAATTGCCCCAGGTAGGACCGGGCTGTGCATATTTATCTCGGTGTGTTACGTCATTGTCTACACACAAATCTTGCGAGTACAGATGAGCCCGCTAGGGGTGATGGTGGGAGACTCACAGCAAAGGGCACCTGGAGGAGTTACACAGGCCACAGGGTCAGAGTTTTATAAATAGAAGCAACACACATTGAGACGTGAGATTCATGCCCACAAACACATGCTCAGGGAGGAGTAGAAAGTGGCTTTGGTCTTGGCTGCAGCTGTCCCTCCGGCTCTTCTTTCCAATTTCACTGGAATCAACTTTCAGACAGATGGATCTTTGAAAACGTTTCATTAAAGTGAATAAATACTGATATTGCTATTGAGAGAACACCTTAGCCAGCAGTTTTGCTACTAAAGTGACAGTCTTCATATACTGTTTAAAAAACGGTAACATTACATTTAGGAATTGCAGGTATACAGAAAAAAGTTAAGGTCAATAGAAATAGGCTTGGACATTTAAAACCGTAGCATATGAGAAACATGGATGCATAGAATTTATTTAAACATGACTCTACAGTCTTATTTCAGCGAGGGGGGTGTAAGTGCTCCGAACAGCACATTGACAGGCGAGTACAAGAACTCAAAGTCGTATATTTTAGCTAATTTATGCTGGCAGATTGTCCTCATATTCATTGCCCAAAGCTTGTATTTACAGTGATGTTTCTCTTTTTTAAAAACAGGCCTGTTATTTTGTGGCCTTCAAAGATTTGTCTCTATAGTGTCACTTTTTTAAGATTAAATCGCTGCCATCTGATGTACAGTATGTCCACATTACACTCAGGCGTGTCTGACTCTTCATCTGCGTTTCTTGATCACAACAGCACTAAACAAACACTCCTGTATCCTAGTAACCATCCAGAGTGATACAGTGGACTGGTAGACTCCTGCATTAACCTGTCAACGGGCCATTGCTGTTGTGAAATTGTGGGCTGTAGAGAGCGGAGTCCCAGCTAGCTTAAAGAAGTCTGACAGAGTAGGGATTCCAGCTGGGTTGTAACGCAGGTTCAACCCTTGAAGGGTGGACAGAAAAGCAGTCCCTCCTGCTCTCTAACACAGGAGTTGGAGAGCAGGAGGGATTGTGCAAAGACATGCCTTTTTCATAATCCTCATCTCTGTGATCCCAGGAACTGGCTGAGCTCTGGCTAACCTGCTAGATGAACTGTGGGAATCTTCTTTTACACCACATGTATTATGTGTAAAATCCTATTCAGTGTGGTTGGATACTCAGGGTGTGGCTGCGGTCTATTTTTATCTAGCCTTTGGTAGATATTTTCCGTAGCAGTGGGAGGGTACGTTCAATTCAGGCTACAGAACTGACTCTTACCTGCTTCTCCTTGTCTCGCACGGGCCCTTCTGTCATAACAGGCTGTCACATTACCTGACTGGAACCTGCCTGCGTCCACATCTGTCTAAGGCTTCATGCCTGTCTCTCTATAGGTTAGAGAGGAAGATCAGATATAATATCACTGATTTAGGAAGACCCACACGGCTACAGCTTCTGTGAAGACAGCCAGAGACAAGCTGCTGACAGGGAAACCATCCAAGAGCACACAGTTACCACAGTAACCAGTTAACTGA